AATGGTCAAAATGCAGTAAAGTCTATAATACTAACAAGGTCTCTATGAATAATATCATTATCATGTAAAAATAAAAGTCCGAGAGCTATTTCCTTAGCAATACGTAGTTTATTGATCCATTGCAATGTTGTAAAATTTGCCTTTAGATATTCTCGTAAATTTCCGTCATCAGCATATTGTAAAACCATATAATAATATCCATTATTATCTATTTAATTGTAATAATTATTTTTAATATCATTAATATAATTATCATTTTATGACAATTCAGAACTTGTATGTAAATGTTGCATATATACCTTTCGTGATACCATAGAATTTAATAATATTAGGATGGTAATCAACTTTTATTAATAACTTAAGCTTTTACGTATGTCATAGATGCAGAAATTTGATCTTATTAGATCAGAAAATTATAACGCAAGTAATTAATATAGTAAATAATAGTAAATATATTACCTCTTTAATAAAATCTTTAATAATTTCTTTATTTATATTGATATCGATTTTAAGACATTTAAGAGCAACGGTTAATTCACAATCTTTCCATTCGTATTTAAAAACATTCCCAAAGCCTCCACTGCCAATCACACTAGAGTATATAAATTTATTATATTTAATATTATTAATATATCCTTCGGACATAGCTTTTTCGAGCCATTCAAATGATGTGTTCTCCATAATTTTGTATGTAAAAAGTATGTACATACGTACTACTGGGGTATCCAATGCACTATGTAAATCAAATCTAAGTAATGCCTATATATTTTTTGTGGCTGTTTCACAATCATTCGTTGTACAAAAAAAAATAACTATACATTTTTTTTTTGCACTGGATTGTGTTATTACTAAAACGTTAGCGACAAGTGTGCGAACAGATATTTGAAAATACCGTACCTTGTGAAAAACCAAAGACTTAGAGACTTCAATTATTGTACATTAATAAATTAATAAAGATTACCTGATTATCTATCTACTGGTTACAATAGTTTCGGCAACTGCTCAAATATTATCAAGACGAAATTAAAAAAAACTTTATCATTATTAGATCTGTATTATAAAGATTTTGAAGCCTATATTATTGATAAAATTTTGAAATACCGTAATATTTTAAAATAATATTTTAGAACATTTGATAATTTATAATTGTAAAATATATTAATGAAGAATTGTAGAATTTTAGAAATGTCGAATGAAGAATCTAATTATAGGAAATATATAGAGGTAATTTTTTTAATTTGAAGGTCTTAAAAGCTTTTGAAATATTTCATTTGCAGATTCTTCTCTATTAATAGATATATTTTCAATAACCATTTTTTTGTTTATTTTTTAAACGAATTTCTGATAGTTTTTCCCGAGTAAGTGAAGTTTCAAGAGATTTAGGTCCTGAGAGTTGCATTCGTGCTTCTTGTAGGTCTATAGACATATTAGAATGTGTTTTGAGATCATATTTGTTGAACATACCTTCAAGGTGTTGCTGATGAATGATTATAGGCCAAATTCTATGTTTAATAAAATCATATACTAATGGGTAATTAAGTAATTCAGTATAGGTAGATTGTGAAAAGGTCAGAAATTGGTTTTGAAATTCATGATCTTTTAATGTTTCAAATAATCCAAAAGATTCTTGATTTTTATTTTTTAAATCATTTACTAACTCATTTATATATTTTTTTGTATTTTTGTAAGGTCTTTTGAAAGGTGCATATTAAGGATAACTTTACTAATTTCAATTGCAAAATCAGGATTATGAATTCCTTCAAGTCGGCATAATGAAAGAGGTAAATGTATCTATTAATTCATTTATTGTTTAAATGTTTCTAAAACTTTTACTAATCTACATTTAATTTTATTTGTTAAATCATTAAATTCATTTGTAGATAAAACTTTATAAGCCAATAGCAACTTTTTTATAAACATATTATCAGAATGTTCAGCTGCAATTTGTAATTCATTAATCCATTGTTTAACTTTATCTGGCATTTCACTTGCTTTAAATCTATTTGGAAGATTTGTATTCTTGTCAATTAAAAAATATATTACTTTTTTATAAAACCATTTACCAAAATAAATTATTATATTTGTTTGCTGTTTCTAGTTTGTTAATAAATCAACTAGAAAATTAAAAATGAATGTTTCTTTAATTTAAATAAAAAAAGTTTATTATATAAATTACAATTTTATATTGTATATAATTTTGTATAAAATTTGATAAATTGAAATTCATATAATTTTATATAAAATATTAAATTTACAAAAGTTTGGTTAGCAGTATGATTCAAATTATAATTTTTAAATCATTAAACTTTTAATTTGTTAAAATTACAATTATATAAAATTTTTTTTTTAAAAAATGATCTCTTTGGTTTTTTGATTTTTATTAATCACTTATTAGTATTGTAGTTCAATGAACTACTACAGGAGAGCATACAATTGGCTACATGTGTAACTTTTCTATATTGCCTATTTAAGGAGTCTGTCTAAAGATTTCCAACCAACTATTGTATCTAACACTTCTGCTTGGGGTTCTACTTTAAACCTTTTAAACCTATAATCTATATTAACTCACTGGGTTATACCCAGATACTCAGATTATTGTCTCAATCTTAGGACTAATTTATTTTTGAGATAAACCTCCCAAAACCTTTTGTACTTATTTTTATAGCTGATCTAGGTATTGCTATAGCAGAACTAACACTTACAGTCAGGGCTAACCATTAAACTGCTATGCTCTTGTAAAGTTCATTTAGATCTCAGCATCTACTTTATAGTATAATCTCAGTACTTTAGTATACCTCTGTTTTTTCTTCTATCTTTTTACTAAACTTCTAATCCAGATAGCCTGTATAGGACTATGACCAGTCTATTGATATATTAGGTCAGCCTGATATCCTTTTACTTTGGTTTATTCTAATAGTCTAGTTGGGTGATATTCTCAAGACTTCCAACTCAGAGGTTTTTGCCTGTCCAGTTATTACAATTGAGTACTAGACCTAGATATCTGTTTCACTAGGTTAGTCTTTACAATAAGGACATCAAAAATCCAGCTATCTTTTTATTTAGGTCTTCTTAAATGAACTTCTTATTATCTAATTTCAACAGATTTACATGACCACAAGAACTTATCTAGTGTTTGCACTGCTCAATTTGTTAGATTGCATTCTTTTGTATAACTTCAACATTGCATAAATGTCCTATGACCTACCAGTTATGCTGGTATGACTGTTATTACAGGTATCTTAACCTAAACATTAGTAACAATTGCTGTAATATAAATATTATATAAGTGATTATCTAAATTTTTGTCATTAATGAGATTTGAACACCCAACCTACTACTTGGAAGTTGACAACTTGACCACTTCACTAGGTCACTACACTTCTAATTATATAAAATTTCAATTTGCTAAATTTTATATAAATTATATAAAATTATATAAAATTATTATAATTTAACAACTTTATCTAAATATTAATTTGTCATTATTAATTAATATAACCAACAGGTCAAAATAGGTTTTTGATATATATTTTTTTTTTGGTGTTAAGGTGAGGCCTTGCTCATATCTTTATTAATAATTTTAGTTGTACATATTAATATACTATATATTAAGAATATACTAAGATTGTAAAA